AACCTAACTCAAGACCTTGCGCTTGCCAGGCAGGCGCTTTGCTGCTGAGCTAAATCCCCAGCCCCCTGATCCCCTGATTCTCACCTTTTGACCAAGCCTGGTGTTTCCACCCTGTGAGCCTGTGTGACATGATGTGTCCCCTTCTCTTGGGAAATATCAGTGCTAAATTATTTTTTTAGTGACAGTGAGTTCTCTGTGCTGTCACTCAATGATCTTTATAAATTAAGACCAGGATATAAATTGAAACAGGTAACTCCATACAAACCATGCAAACCCAGTTCATTGTCTCATAAAGTCAAAAAATGAAATTGTGGACAACAGGGAGGAGATTAGGAGAGTGTTTATTGGAAGAGAGTAGAAAACTAGCTCCCAGCTTAGGGGCCCCAAGCAGGTTGCCATGTGGCCCCTCAGTCCAGCACCTTTTAAGCATAGAGTCTGAGGACTGTTTGTTTGTCCAGTGGCCACCGATCACAGGTGGCTCTAAAATGGGCTTAAATGACCAACTGGAATTTGGGCTCTCTAAACCAGTTACACAGCTTCTAGAGTTTAAAGGAAACTGTTTATAAAAGAAAAATGATTACTCTGCTTTTTTAAGTTCCTCCAAACTGGGCCCTGGCTATTAGGAAGGATTGCATTCTATATTGCCCGAGGAGCTCTTTTGTTGGTCAAAGTCCCAGTTTTACTGCTTATTCTTATTTTCATTTTTATCACTGTGGCTGACCCACCAACTCCCACCTCACTTCCTTTCTCTAGCTGGCTGTCTATTCATAAGCCCAGTAAATTGCCTTTTACAAAATCATTTCTCCGGCAAGTTAAATCACTGGCAAACGCCATATAATCTCGGATTTAGGCTTTTATTGTTCCATTTCAGTTTTGTCTCTAGTGTTAAGTTTTCACAGGAAGCCACGTGTGCTTTCTGAGTATGTTCAGGTTAGCTAAAGAAACTGAACCAAGGCTGTGTATAATAGAGATTTACTTTAAGGACTGGGCTTACACAGTTAAGGAGGTTACCAGGTCCTAAGTCTGCAGAGTGGACTGAAGGTGGAAACCCAGGAAGGGCTGAGGTTGCAGTTCTTCTCCTGGAGAATTCACTCCTGCTCAGGAGATCAGTCTTTGGTTGGATGCAGATCTTCATCTGACTGGATGGGCCCACACCCATTATGGTGCAGAATCTGTTTTACTCAGTCTAATAGTTCAAATGTAAATCTCATCCACAAACACCCTCACGGAACCTCTAAGATAATGCTGAACAGGTGTCTGTCCTCTGTGGCATACTCAAGTTGACACATAAAGTTAACGATCACATGAAATTCTTCTAATGTGGCAGAATTTGAACTCCAGACTCTGTCTCTGAATGTCTTCTCTGCTCTTTTTAACTTCCTGGCTATTGATTTCTAATGAGTCCCTGGCATTTTCCCCCATAGATACACACTTTAGGAATCAGCCAAGGATTTAAAGGGCATTTCAAGCAGATTTTAGTTCTGTTGCTAAGGCTGACTCATTTTAGGGATTGTTCCCCTGACTATTTCAAACCCCAACTTCTGTCTCCCCAGCTCCATGAGACCGTTATGCTCTTACTCCACGTGCAGCGTAAACTGGGGCATGAGCTCAGGGACAGACCTGAGTAAAGGGGAAGTTCAGCTGCTTCTTTCTTTCCTAGCTTCTGCCTGCTTTTGGTGGCTCTTTGGTGCCTTTAAACAGTTATTTTAGTACATTCTGCACCAAGTTTATCACTGTTACCGGTAAAGGAGCTAGAATGAGACATGATTCGGTCATTACCAGCTTTCAAATCCCTCATTATGTTTTTAAATGTTTTGTGAAATTTCCAAGCAAAACAACGTTTTTGTACTATCATGTAGAAATATCATGTATGTGTGTGTTAGAGTGTATTGTTGGGGATTGAGCTCAGGGCCACATGCATGCCTATTCCACACTGAGCTACAGCTCTGGCCTACATTTTAAAGTTTTTAAAAACATGTTTATTTCATGTAATTGGCCATCATAGATTGTCTAATCTCAATCATTTGCCATTTGTTGAGATTATTATTGTTTTTCTTCTTCAGCCTACTTAATACAAACTCCAAACTTAGTGTATTTGGCAGAGATGGCTTAAAACCTTATGCTATTTCTTGTTGTAGTTCAGTGTGTGTCAGAGCTGTGCTGTCAGGTACGTAAAGATTCCTGATGGTGCTATTATCTTGCAGGATTATCAATTTCTAACACACTCTCTACCTTGTCAGCCTTTTTACTTAAATGCAATTGTTTCTGGCATTACTACTTGTTTATTTTAGTATTTTCCTAATAACTTTTTTTATCTCATAATTTTTAATCACATTATAATTTTTATTTGTGTTCCTTATAAATAATGTGTGTCTGAGTCTTTTCAAATCAAGATAAAACTTTTTTTTTTTTTTTTTTTTTGGTTTTTCTCCGGTACCAGGAACCGAACTCACGACCTTGCGCTTGCCAGGCAAGCGCTTTGCTGCTGAGCTAAATCCCCAGCCCAAGATAAAACTTTTTAAAAGGTAAATTTTGTGAACATAAGCAATTAATGTTATATATTTACACTTACTTTTGTTACCCTAATTTTTTATTTATTACATTTTCTTGTTTATTCCTCTTCGTTCCCTTCTTCTTTCCCCCGTCCCACATTTTGGATCATAATTATTTACAAGATTTTGTTCTAAATGTCAAGATTTCTTCTGAACTCATATTATACAAATTCAATACTGTATTTATCTACTAATGTTGAGAATTCACCAGTACTCCATACTATGTCCGATAATAGTCTGTATTATGTCTCTAGTACAATGCTTTTACATCTCTCCCTCCCCTTCTCCTCTCCAACCTCCCATATTAAGGTTACATGGGATTTTCATGCAGAGTTAATATTACCATTTTCATGACAATCATCACTCACTGAAACATAAATTTCACTTACTTCCTGCCTCTTCCTTCATCTCACATATTCCTCTTATATTCATGTTTCATTTTGCTGAAGTTCATCTTCTCTATCTTCCAGAATTGTTATTTCAGTGGTAGTTTTCTGAGTTTTTGTTCTTGTAAGGTTTTTATTTTTGGTTTTTGCCTTCTCATTTGAGTAACAGTTTGGTACGAGATGGCTGTGCAACCTAATCAGTTCTCTTGAAAAGCTTGAAAACATCGCTGTTTCATCTTTTCTCATTTAGTTCTGTCAGTTAAGTCTAGCTTCTGTAGTAGCCTCATATTTTTGCAGGTAATTTGATTTTCTTGCTCTTGGTTGTTCAGATTGTACTTGGATTTTCCTGGGCATTGTTGGTGTTCCACTTAACTCACCAGATCCTTCTGCAGCTCTGCGAAGGCTTGGCAGTTCCTCCTTCTAGAACATTCACTGTAGGCTGCATAGAAACTTCTCTTTCTGCAGACTCCATTGCCTACCTTTCTGAAACTAACTTTGTGAAAGACAAAACGGACTTCGCAGAACACCAGACAGTCAAATGTGCCAACATGCCAGGACCTTGTGTGACCCTCAACTTCCCTACTCTACCTCCATGTAGCCTTAGCCCTTTGTGCCATGATGTCCTTGCCCTCTCTTGGCTTTGCCATGGTCTTTGACATTCCTGGGTGTTGGCCCTGAGAGTCAAGATGCTCCTTCTGCTGTGATCAGTGTCTCATCCTACCGTGCCCCAACAGCACCATGCTCTCACCTTAGAACGGCACCTGCCCATCTGCTTGCCCACAGCCTTCTCTGCCTCAGGGCCACAGCTCTGTCTTCTGTGCTCTTCCCACATAACGTGTTACCGTACAGTAGGGCAGGGGACATTTATAGTGCACAACGGGCTTTGCTTACAGCAAGAAGATGGCAGGCATCCTCTAGGGTCATCACCCACTTTACAAGTGCAGTGACTAAGGTGAGGTTGAGTCTCTGTCCGAAGACATGCACAGGGAGTAATTGATAGGGAAGGAAGTCCTCAGCCCTTAGGTCAGAGTCCCTATCCTGAGCCGGTTGAATGGATGATTCCACCCTAGAAAGAGACACTGGGTGCCATGGTGGTTGTGATAGCAATGGCAACTCCAGCTGTCCCAAGACATCTGTGTGGAATGGACTCCAGGATTCCCCACAGACATCCACATAGGAGATGCTCAAGTCCCCACATAAAGGGCAGGCTATTTGCACATAAACTACAGCATTACTCACTTTACAGAGGGCCACAGATGGGACAGCCAACTGAAGCTGATGTCTTCCATGTCAGGAAGCTTCTCTGCTGGTGTTGGAGAGTCACCTGGCTCTTCCCTTTGAGCATGTGATGGGCTAATGGGGACCAGTGTGGGCTGTGAAGATGCTTTGGATGCCCTGGGGCCTCCAGATAAGAAGGCAAGGTTTGTCACCACCCTGGGCCCTTCTGGCATGCACCTCGATGACAGGGGGAGGTGTCCAGGTAAGAATGGCCCTGGCTCAAGGTGCAGCACCCAGACATTATGAGAGATGCAGCTGCTCCCTGACACTTCCAAGAACTGCTTCCCTGGTGAAAAGGGGTTGTGGAGAAGGCCCCTGAGATGTCCCAACAGGACCAGGAGGAATTGCAGAAGAAAACTGTGGCCTGGGTTTGGAGTATAAGCCAATGAGACTTCACTGCCAAGGGCCCCAGACCACACTGCCTCATGGATGAGGTCTGCCTGTGCCACCAGAGGGACGGAGCTGGTGCAGTGCACAGACATGCACAGAATAAAGATATTTCCATCAATGATGGGCCAAGAATATGGTATCAGCTAGTGATGTCATAGTCCGTGTGAGAGCACCTACGACATCCACACAGTGATGAAACTCCCTGTGAACTTCCTGAACATTCCCCCATTACAAAATGACACACGATTGTATTTCTCTGTTCAGTGCACGGGAAATTTTCATGGACTGAAAATCCAGAGCCTTTCCGTTCCATTCATAAGTATTTCTGCCATTCAAAACCAGATGCTTTAATTAAAATGCTGCTAAAAGAAGCAAATCAATTAACAGATCCCTTACAAGATAGTTTATTTTATCTTACACACAGAAAATTGCTTATGAATACCGCATTATCACTTCAAGTTATCAGTTAACAAAAGCTGCTAATGAAGAACATTGTTATCAAGTCAGGTAAAAGATGCCCTGGGATTCCAGGAATCCAGGTAGGTGACTCTAACATAGCATCTTCTGTTGAAATATAGCTCATCTGGCATCATGCACAAGGAGGGCACCCATCTGAGAAGAATCAGCCCACACAGCCACCCGGACTTCTGTAGAAGAGAAGAGCCTTCATAATGCAGCCCTAGAAATGTGAGTTTGGAAAGACAGGTGAGAGAATCCTCAGACCGAGGACAAGAATAGATGATGCAGGCCTCCTGCTCCCCTGCCAATCATGGCTTCCATGCATGTGCCATGCGCATGCAACAATCTGCACATAACATGGGGATGACAACAGGTTGCATTATAGAGCTCTACAGAAGCACAGCCTCTGCTTTCTCACTTGATACTTTGTTGGCTCCTCTATTTGAAGAGCTTCAAGCTGCAGGCCAGGCCCTTGGCTGCCAAGGGAAAGGCAGGTGTCTGCAGAAAGAGATGGGTAATGCTGCTAAGATGAAGTGCTAAGGAAGCCATTCCTTTGAGCCATTGAAGGGGGCAGATTCAGGAACTACTCTGGCAAGGGCACCAGGTCAGATGTTGTAGATTTACTGGTTCTCATCTTTGCCTACAGCTGGCTAATGTCCTCCCTGTATGCAGCCAGCTTCCTGTGGAAGAGGAGCAGTCACCCTGGCAGAGCAGAGGCGCTGTAGACTTAACTCCTTGGGCTGTCATTTGCCTCCAACATGGAGTCCTCATGGGGTGCCATCCCCAGCCTTGAACATTTGAATGAAAGTATCCCCAAATTGGAATGTGGGCGACTGTTCGGACAGCTGGGCCTCTCCTGCCACGGCCACTTGTCACAGCTCAATCACCTGGGCATCCCTGGAAAGGAAGAGAAACATCAGAAGAGCTGGTGGTAGAGTTTAATCCTCACCTGCGCTATGCACACAGTAAGCAGGTGTGAAGGGGCCCAAGCTCTCAGGCAACCCAGCAAGACAGAGCCCTGGAGGCCAGTGGTTTCCAGGTAAAGCATAGAATTTTCCAGAATGATTTCAACCTTGAGGTCATTTCCTGCCCACCAAACCCAAAGCCACAAAACCTCAATCACTTTGAATAGAAAAAGGAAAGAAGTCATTTCCTGAAGTCAATAGGCATATTTGGGGGGAAAGGGAAGGTTCCTGAAGTTGAAGAGTTTTATGTATCTGGGAAAATGCTGAAAAGAATAGTATGAATAGATGCCTGGGAAATGATACCCTCAATTCTAAACTCTAGGCTGTCATGAGAGTTACCCTCTGTACCTTACAGAAAGCAAGCCTGCTCCATACTCAGCATGCCAGCATGGACAGGAGGGAAGGGAGTGTCAGTGTGTTTTTAAATTAAAAAGGATGAACACTGAAGAAAAGATGAAGTCTCTGTCAGACTCTGCACATGGAGCTTGAGTAGAAAGTTGGGCAGAGACCCTGCCACAGTCATTCTGGGTGGGGGCCTCACTGACACCCCCATGCATGAGACCAACACTGCAGATTCACATCCAAGATACCTGTAGCTGTAACCAAATGCCACACTTCTGGTTCTACAGAGTAGTGCAAATTGCAGATGCCATGCCCTGCGTGTGTCCAGTCACCATCTCTTGCCTCCTGACATCTCTTGAAGGGAGCAGCAGCAGAAGTAGCAACAGAAAGGCAGAGCATAGAGAGGCATCCACGGGCCAAGCCAAGGGCCAAAAGATAGACATGTGTTTAAGGACCAAGGACGCAGGTCAAGGTCAAGGCCATAGAGCTTGATGATATGTAGGGCTGATGTTGAAGATGAGCAGGTTGAAAACAAGGAAGGTCAGGTGAAGGGGAGTGGAGAGAGTTGGAGGAAGTTTCCCCACAAGGGCACCAGTGCTGTGAGTGTTGTCTCTGGGTCCAGAAAAAGGCAGCCCTGAAGTCAATGTTCAGGACACCCTGGGGGTGAGCAGAGTCCATCTCTCTTGTCTTTAGTGAACCAGTGCCATGGAAACCACAGTGGATTTCCCACACAAGGTAGGCTCATGCACTGTGTTCACTGGTATTAAACACCAGTGGCTTCAGCCAGTGCCAACAGGAAGCAGAAAACAGGGGCCTAGAATGGGGACAGAGGTTCAGTACTTTGGCAGACGACCCAGTATTGTGAACAGAGATCCAGGGGAAAACAAAAGCAAACTCAAAGCCTTCATCAAAGTAGCTCTGCAATGTTATCATGTTCAAAAGTCAATGTAGTCAATCACCAGGTCAGAAGCATAATGCAAAATGCTAAAAACAAAACAAGACAAAACAAAAACCAAGATCCAAAAAAATACTTAGAAATAAACTTAATAAGAAATGCAAGGATCTTGTAAGAGTGAAATTGGAGAGCTCTTGAAACACGTGAAAATAGACTTGTAAAAAAAAAGTCTATAACAAAAATGGGGTAATTAGGTAGGTGTGTGGCTGCACAGCGCTGGGCTGCGGAGGAATTTGTGTGCTATTAGGAGACAGCAAGCGAGCAAACACCTCACTGGGCTTTTCCCTTGGAGCAGAGAAGGGCTGGGAAGAGCCTGAGGAGTGCTAAGTGTTTACAATTTAATATGTATTTCTAGATTCTGTGAGCAGAGGAAACAGTGCCTCAGGCCACAAAGACACTGGGGGCCCAAAGCTTGCTTTCTAAACATCTCTGCAGTAAATTTGAAAAAGAAAGGAAAGATAGAGAGAGAAAGAAAAAGAATGCAGAAAGGAAGAAAGGAAGGAAAGGAGGAAGGGAGGAAGGGAAGAAGGGGAAAGAAGGGAAGGAAGGAAGGAAGGAAGGAAGGAAGGAAGGAAGGAAGGAAGGAAGGGAGAAAGGAAGGAAG